CCGACATACAAAGCAATAGCAATGTTAAAACGAAGTAAACTGGATATAAACTCCCCAAACAGGCGAAAACCTACCAGTTTCACCCACTGTCTCTGCCACCTCCCTCCATGCCTGGTTCCTCCGGTTTGTATCCCGGTAAATAGTTCTGGTCGTAAAGAACCGGGTGATTTGCTACCGTAATTTCTCGTTTGGAATATGAGGAAATGAACTGCGGTCTGGCTCTCCCAGCTTGCACGCGGTTTGATTGGCTAGCGCTTGTACTGGCGGGATTTGCATAAACGGGATTTGATTGGCTGACGCCAGCTTCGAGCAAGCATCGAGCCTCAAAAGTTGAACATTGTTCTTGGGGGGGGGGGGGTGCGCAGTGTTATGCATGCCCACTGCACCTCGCGGGAGCGCGCACAGTATAAAGCCAACACTCAAGGACATTTTAATGATTTGTACGGTAAAGTTAGGTTTGGAAACGGTATCATTTCCTTTTTGGAGGGCATGCATAACACCAGAGCCTCACTGCGGGGAAACTTTGGCGCTGTTCCGAGTTTGTTCTAATCGATCAAAATGACGGACTGCTTTCAGGGCTCAGTGCTTGGACCTATTTTGTTCACATTATATATGCTTCCGTTAGGCAATATTATAAGGAATCACTCATCCAATCATCTAAATAAAATTCAAGACTGCCTCAAGGACTTAAAAACGTGGATGACCTTAAACTTTTTTATGGCCAAAACTGAAGTTATTGTACCCGGCCCAAAGAATCTACAAAACAAATGATCTAAAGATATATTGGATGGCATTAATTTGGCATCCAGTGAGACTGTAAGGAATCTTGGTGTTATATTTGATCAGGATTTATCCTTTAACGCCCACATCAAATTAATTTCAAGGACCGCCTACTTCCATCTACGTAACATTGCAAAAATCAGGCATATCTTGCCTCAAAACAATGCAGAGAAACTAGTCCATGCATTTGTTACTTCAAGGCTAGATTATTGTAACTCTTTATTATCAGGGTGTACCAAAGAGTTAGTCAAGTCGCTTCAGCTGATTCAAAATGCTCCAGCTCGTGTACTAACCAGAGTTAGGAAAAGGGACCACATTACTCCTGTTCTTGCTACCTTACACTGGCTCCCGAACACAGGATAGAATTTTAAATTCTTCTTCTCGCCTACAAAGCCCTTAATGGGCAGGCGCCATCTTACCTTAAATAACTCATTACCCTACTGTCCTACTAGGGCATTGCGTTCCAAGAATGCAGGGTTGTTGGTTGTTCCTAGAGTTTTTAAAAGTATAATGGGAGCGAGAGCCTTTTCTTATCAAGCTCCACTTTTGTGGAATCAGCTTCCAGTTTGTGTTCGGGCGGCAGACACCCTATCCATTTTTAAGAGTGCGCTTAAGACCTTCCTTTTTGATAAAGTTTATAGTTAGGGCTGATTAGATTCAGCCCCTAGTTTTGCTGCTATAGGCTTAGTTTGTCGGGGGACACCTTACTTCTTCCTTCTCTCTGTCTATACCTGTGTACTCTCATGTTCCGATTAACCCAGCTTCCCCAAATTTATTTTTGGTGTCTATATACGCCGGGATCCTGAGTCGTGGCTGATCCTGTTGCTGCGGTCCTGTCCTGGATCCTGAGCACCATGTTCCCCTTTAAACTGTGGGTTTTCTCTGGAAGTTTTTCCTTGTACGATGTGAGGGTCCAAGGACAGAGGGTGTCGTATTGTCATAGTGATATTCTGTACAAACTGTGAAGTCCAGACAAATGTGATATTTGTGATATTGGGCTATATAAATAAACATTGATTGATAAGAAAGTTCTAACGCTTATTTTATAAACTCATAGAAGAACTGAAGGGAGCAGAGCTAAGCTTATTTCCAAAAATGCCAAACTATTCCAGAAAATACATTCAGAGTCATGCCTTCAAACGAGAAGCTTGAACCCCTAATGAGGACAACCATGTAAAAAGTTTGTCACCTTGCTTTCCCCATGACCAACTTCGCAGGTTTCTAAGTATTGCACTAATCTCCAGCTCAAATGTGATGGTGACATAAAAGGGACCCATATTCTCTATAATCTCCAAATTTGTTTTTCACAGACATGTATCTCATGGTCAAAGGGAATATTGTTTTCCAAGCAGCAGAGGCAGGCTGGGTCCCATCCCATGAATCATGTATTGTGCAATATACGGATCTACTGGAGAATTTCACACAACATGCACATTTTAAATTGTGATTTTGTGATTGATATCTTTTGACAGGACATTTCTTATGACTTATGTCTTTCTGGCATTTATTTGAAAAACGTGATCTGTGATTTTCAGTTTCATCAATCACAGTTTATTGCGCCTATTTCTTATCATTTCTAGGAAGTTTTTACAATGTATGCAGCGGAGGTCAGACCCCTCCCCGCGGTTCCGGTTGCACGGCTCTATTTGGTATGCTCTGAGGATAAAGGTGGAGCAGCTGGAAATGCGCACCGGACGCACGGAGAGCAGAGGAGCTGGACAGCAGAGGAGGAGTCGGTGGACCACCCGATGCCTTGCTAAACTTACAGCAGCAGCCAAAAAAACGGGCTCCAACACCGAAGAGTCTACCGTCCTGCTGTGAGATTTGAGTAGCTGGGGTCCCAGATGTGCTCACAGATTTCTCTCCGCTGCAGATGAACGTAAGTTTGTCTTTTCGCATGTTAATATTCAGATGCTGCTGCAGATGATGTTTTAATGTATGGTCTGGGTTACACATGCATTCAGTGTCACCGATGATCGAAATAATAATGACTTTAAAATGCGTAACCTTCTTAGACCTTAATTGATATTTCTTAACTTTGTTTGCGGACACCAACATATTTCATTGAACTGAGAACTGTAACTCTTCTCTGTGAAAATAATTAGTGTACATCCACTAAAATGCCATTTATGAAACAACATATATGGATATTCATTTGTATGTGGCTTTGATAATTCATGTTGCTGTTAGAAGTTGTCCACATATGCGTAACATCCGAATATCTGAGTGCATTAATCCTATTTAAATAATAATTTGGGATTGATTATAAACAGTAAATGTTGTATTTCGACAATGTATTAACGTTTGCTTATCTGAGAGAGAGAGAGAGAGAGAGAGAGAGATAGAGAGAGAGAGAGAGACCCGTGCATCAGATGTTATATTATGTGTACAACGGCAATACATCCAACATGCCATTCCTTGTAAATGATTTCAGCTCATCTTTCATCAAATTTCACATCAGGAGAAAATAGTAAACATGTGAGTCACGTAGTTGTACACAATCAAAGCAAACCTGACATAACTGTGTGTTTTTTTTCTTATTAATGAACAGTCTTCAAAAAGACCTTAGGGGTTTTATTCGAAACATCTCCCACCCACTTGTCCATGGTGTGGTTTTAGTATTCACAGCACGTCAGTGGCGCAGCTCTGTTTGGCTGTAGGCTACAGGTGTTGGCACCCCAGATAGCCGTCATCACTGATAACACGGAGGCTGCCAAACATGTATTAAATGCACCGGGACACCAAGGCCCGGTGGACTGACTTTCATTTGCATTTAAACTCGGAAAACAAACTGAGACAAACACAGATTATTTTCGTGTTGCAGTTTAAGAACGTTTAGTTTGGGCTCAGACAACAAAGAGCTGAGTCCCCCACGGTTTTAGTTTTCTAAACTTGTTGATTTCAACATTAACTAAAGTTAAAACAGCAAGCTTTAAATCTAACACAACACGTTGGAAATTATTTTCACTTGACTTAAAACACCCCCAACCGGACTAGAGTAATTTATGATCTCATTTTAATGCATTGTAAATAGATGGTAATTTGTTACAAATGAGAATTATAATACGCTACGATCCTTGAAAACAATAAAGTCAGTCAGTGACAACCATTATGTTAAATTATACTTTAAATCATTATAATATTTGTTTTAATTGTTGTATAAAGCATTCCTAATATAAATGAGCGCTTATAATTAAGCAATAGCTCACGACAGGCCGTGGTATGCTCATTATATCACAGCTAAGGGGCGTGGTTCGGCCCGACGCGAAGCGGAGAGTCGACAACCCCCTTAGCGATATATGCACGGCCTGAAGTGAGCTATTGCTTTTATAAAACGGTTACCAAGCGTGGCAATATGAAAGAAAAATACACACTCTAATTTAAATAGTTTGTATTAGTAAATAATGATGTTCAAAATAAAATAGTCCCTCCGTTGCCTTCTGCACGAAACATAGTACGAGGTGGTTGCTATGCAACAACACTAACAGCTAGCGAACATATTAGACAGAGAGCGTTGATCCATTATTTGGCTATTTATTTACATTCATTTGTATGTTGCCGTTTATTGTGCACCCACTGAAAAACTGTCCAGCATCAGTAGCATGGCTTACGTGGTTACTTGTATAGGTTGAGGTTGTTCTATGGCTGTTGCTTGGCGTGGTGAGAATATTGCTTCACTTTCTCCGGTCCCCGAGATTTGGCTTCCAGTAGCTCTGGAGAGACCTTTCGCACCTAAATATAACATTTCTGAGCAGATTTGAACTCATTATACGTTTATTTATAATGCATTATTGACACAAGTGTGTGTTGTCTTCTCTGTTCCTATGTTATTATGATGACTGAAGTAATTCAGAAAAGCACAAGCCATTTGTAAATTCTATTTGCATATTAGCACGATAATATGCACTAGGAAGTCAAGGAGTTGTGAAGACGTTTATATTGGATAAATGGACTGTATTCATCATTTAGATTCTACTTCACTGATTTTCAATGTGGCAAACAGATACTTCCATATAAGCATATTACTTCCTCTTGATGAGATGTATTCATTCATTGCATTTTTCTTTTTCAGCACAGATTTCTTTGGATAACCTTCACCCACTTCAAGGCCCATGACTCACACATCTTGTTGTTTGCCTCTTTCTTTTCACCTCACTCTCGTTACCAGCACTGATCTTCATGGTTGATGAGCAGAATGTGGCTTCCTTTGTGCGCCTCAGAAAATGAACGCCCCTCTGTGTGACTCTGTATCGACCATGTTTCATCTGACAACAGACAACCAACTGAACTCTAGCTGCAATGGCTCCCTGCCCTCTTCTAACTGGACAGCGGGGGACGATGCTTTGCAGCTGCCCACCTTCACAACAGCAGCTAAAGTCAGAGTGGTCATCACCTGCATTCTCTGTGGCATATCCGCCTTTTGCAACCTGGCCTTGCTGTGGGCAGTGCACAGCGACGGGAAGCGCAAATCCCACGTCAGGGTGTTGATAATCAATCTGACGGTGGCCGATCTGCTGGTGACCTTCATCGTGATGCCGCTGGACGCCGTGTGGAACATCACAGTCCAGTGGCTGGCTGGAGACTTTGCTTGCAGGCTGCTGATGTTTCTTAAGCTGCAGGCGATGTACTCCTGCGCCTTTGTCACCGTGGTGATCAGTCTGGATAGGCAGTCAGCCATCCTCAACCCTCTGGCTATCAGTAAAGCCGGGAAGAGGAACAGAGTCATGCTGATGGTGGCGTGGGGCATGAGTGTCGTGCTGTCTGTCCCTCAGGTAAGGCCAGCTGAGGCCAGGGGTCTGCACTGTTCTTTAAAAGAGGCTGTAAACATGTTCTCATTAAAGCTTGGGTAGGAAACATTGGATAAGCCAGGAAAAGTAAGATAGATTTGAAAAGATTCAGCCAAAACATCCAATTAAACTCCTTCCCAATTAAAGTAGCTAGCAGCACTTGCTTAATATGTCTCTAAAACTTGCGAGGAGTCTCTGAGTGGACAACATTGTGTGTTTTTTTCGATTTCATTTAGCAGGCACTTTTATCCAGAGCAATTTACAATAAATGTAAAAAATCATGTAGGTACAAACAGCAGGAAACAGGCAGGAACCTTTGCTTTCAAATAAGCCAGTGTAAGTGCTGGTGCATTAGCTTCAGAGGAGCAAACCTTTTGAGTGCTACATTTTGATTTTCTCCTTCTTAATGGCCAAGGTGCGTGAGCAACAGGTCGGTTTTCAGTCTGCGAAGGAAGATGTGTAAACTTTCAGCAGCCCTGTTATCTACACTGAGCTCGTTCCACCATTTTGGAGCAAAGATAGCAAACACTGAGAGAAAGTCTCTTCATGTCTCCCTCCGAAGCCACTCCAACAAAGTTATCACTATCAACGTAGACAACTTACACAATATTATCACTATCAACGTAGATAACTTTCACTCTATTATCACTATCAACGTAGACAACTTACACTCTATTATCACTATCAACATAGATAACTTTCACTCTATTATCACTATCAACATAGATAACTTTCACTCTATTATCACTATCAACATAGATAACTCTCACTCTATTATCACTATCAACATAGATAACTTTCACACTATTATCACTATCAACGTAGATAACTTTCACTCTATTATCACTATCAACATAGATAACTTTCACTCTATTATCACTATCAACATAGATAACTATCACTCTATTATCACTATCAACGTAGATAACTTTCACTCTATTATCACTATCAACATAGATAACTTTCACTCTATTATCACTATCAACATAGATAACTTTCACTCTATTATCACTATCAACATAGATAACTTTCACTCTATTATCACTATCAACATAGATAACTTACACTCTATTATCACTATCAACATAGATAACTTACACTCTATTATCACTATCAACATAGATAACTTTCACTCTATTATCACTATCAACATAGATAACTTTCACACTATTATCACTATCAACATAGATAACTTACACTCTATTACACATCACATAGATAACTTCACCTATATCACTATCAACAAGATAACTTTCACTCTATTATCATATCAACATAGATAACTTTCACTCTATTATCACTATCAACATAGATAACTTTACACTCTATTATCACTATCAACATAGATAACTTACACTCTATATCACTATCAACATAGATAACTTCACTCTATTATCACTATCAACATAGATAACTTTCACTCTATTATCACTATCAACATAGAGAACTTTCACTCTATTATCACTATCAAATAGATAACTTTCACTCTATTATCACTATCAACATAGATAACTTGCACTCTATTATCACTATCAACAATGATAACTTTGCACTCTATTACACTATCAACATAGATACTTTCACTCTATTATCACTATCAACATAGATAACTTTCACTCTATTATCACTATCAACATAGATAACTTATCACTCTATTATCACTATCAACATAGATAACTTTCACTCTATTATCACTATCAACATAGATAACTTCACTCTATTATCACTATCAAAAAAAACCTAATTATCACTAATCAACATAGATACTTCACTCTATTATCACTATCACATAGATAACTTCACTCTATTAATCACTATCAACATAGATACTTTCACTCTATTATCACTATCAACATAGATAACTCTCACTCTATTATCACTATCAACATAGTATACTTTCACTCTATGTCACTATCAACATAGATAACTTTCACTCTATTATCACTATCACATAGATAACTTACCACGCTATTATCACTATCAACATAGATAACTTTCACTCTATTGACACTATCACATAGATAACTTTCACTCTATTATCACTATCAACATAGATAACTTACACTCTATTATCACTATCAACATAGATAACTTTCACTCTATTATCACTATCAACGTAGATAACTTTCACACTATTATCACTATCAACATAGATAACTTTCACTCTATTATCACTATCAACGTAGATAACTTTCACTCTATTATCACTATCAACGTAGATACTTACACTCTATTATCACTATCAACATAGATAACTTACACTCTATTATCACTATCAACATAGATAACTCTCACTCTATTATCACTATCAACGTAGATAACTTACACTCTATTATCACTATCAACATAGATAACTTACACTCTATTATCACTATCAACATAGATAACTCTCACTCTATTATCACTATCAACGTAGATAACTTTCACTCTATTATCACTATCAACGTAGATAACTTACACTCTATTATCACTATCAACATAGATAACTTACACTCTATTATCACTATCAACATAGATAACTCTCACTCTATTATCACTATCAACATAGATAACTTTCACTCTATTTATCACTATCAACATAGATAACTTACACATCTATTATCACTATCAACATAGATAACTCTCACTCTATTATCACTATCAACATAGATAACTTTCACTCTATTATCACTATCAACGTAGATAACTTTCACTCTATTATCACTATCAACATAGATAACTTTCACTCTATTATCACTATCAACATAGATAACTTTCACTCTATTATCACTATCAACATAGATAACTAACACTCTATTATCACTATCAACAGTAGATAACTTCACTCTAATTATCACTATCACATAGATACTAACCTATTATCACTATCAACATAGATAACTTTACACTCATTATCACTATCAACATAGATAAACTCTACACTCTATTATCACTATCAACATAGATAACTTTCACACTATTATCACTATCAACATAGATAACTTTCACTCTATTATCACTATCAACATAGATAACTAACACTCTATTATCACTATCAACATAGATAACTCTCACTCTATTATCACTATCAACATAGATAACTTTCACTCTATTATCACTATCAACATAGATAACTTTCACTCTATTATCACTATCAACGTAGATAACTTTACACTCTATTATCACTATCAACATAGATAACTTTCACACTATTATCACTATCAACATAGATAACTTACACTCTATTATCACTATCAACATAGATAACTTTCACTCTATTATCACTATCAACATAGATAACTCTCACTCTATTATCACTATCAACATAGATAACTTTCACTCTATTATCACTATCAACATAGATAACTTTCACTCTATTATCACTATCAATCATAGATAACTTTCACTCTATTATCACTATCACATAGATAACTTTCACTCTATTATCACTATCATCATAGATAACTTACACACTATTATCACTATCAACATAGATAACTTACACTCTATTATCACTATCATCATAGATAACTTTCACTCTATTATCACTATCAACATAGATAACTTACACTCTATTATCACTATCAACATAGATAACTCTCACTCTATTATCACTATCAACATAGATAACTTTCACTCTATTATCACTATCAACGTAGATAACTTACACTCTATTATCACTATCAACATAGAACTTTCACTCTATTATCACTATCAACATAGATAACTTTCAACTTTCACTCATTATCACTCACACATAGATAACTTACACTCTATTATCACTATCAACGTAGATAACTTACACTCTATTATCACTATCAACATAGATAACTTCACTCTATTATCACTATCAACATAGATAACTTACACTCTATTATCACTATCAACGTAGATAACTTACACTCTATTATCACTATCAACATAGATAACTTTCACTCTATTATCACTATCAACATAGATAACTTACACTCTATTATCACTATCAACATAGATAACTTACACTCTATTATCACTATCAACATAGATAACTTTCACTCTATTATCACTATCAACATAGATAACTCACTCTATTATCACTATCAACATAGATAACTTTCACTCTATTATCACTATCAACATAGATAACTTTCACTCTATTATCACTATCAACATAGATAACCTACACTCTATTATCACTATCAACATAGATAACTTTCACTCTATTATCACTATCAACATAGATAACTTTCACTCTATTATCACTATCAACATAGATAACTTTCACTCTATTATCACTATCAACATGAATAACTTTCACTCTATTATCACTATCAACATAGATAACTTTCACTCTATTATCACTATCAACATAGATAACTTACACTCTATTATCACTATCAACATAGATAACTTTCACTCTATTATCACTATCAACATAGATAACTTTCACTCTATTATCACTATCAACATAGATAACTCTACACACTCTATTATCACTATCACATAGATAACTTTCACTCTATTATCACTATCAACATAGATAACTTCACACTCTATTATCACTATCAACATAGATAACTTTCACTCTATTATCACTATCAACATAGATAACTTACACTCTATTATCACTATCAACATAGATAACTTTCACTCTATTATCACTATCAACATAGATAACTTACACACTTATCACTATCAACATAGATAACTTTCACTCTATTATCACTATCAACATAGATAACTTTCACACTATTATCACTATCAACATAGATAATTTCACTCTATTATCACTATCAACATAGATAACTTACACTCTATTATCACTATCAACATAGATAACTTACACTTTATTATCACTATCAACATAATAACTTTCACTCTATTATCACTATCAACGTAGATAACTTTCACTATTATCACTATCAACATAGATAACTTTACACTCTATTATCACTATCAACGTAGATAACTTTCACTCTATTATCACTATCAACATAGATAACTTTCACTCTATTATCACTATCAAC